ATTCAGACTATAGCATGGTATTTAGATTATAGCGTGGTACTATAACCTAGTCTAAGTGGGATACCACGCTTTAATATAATTATATTAAAGCATGGTATCCCACTTTTTAATATTATTTCTTATTTAAGATTTATTATAATATCTTATATTAATTTGCTTTTGAATTTGTATTACAAGTTTGATTGAATAAATCTTAAATTTTAAGATATAATAAATTGTTAAGTTGATTTAAGTATAATAGATACCTATAGAACTTAGAGAAAATTCTAAAACCATAAACTTTTAATTTAAATATTAAGATAACTGAAAATAAATATAATAATTTTAATATATAATTTAAATATAAAATTCTTAATATTATATTTATTTAAATCTGAAAATTGATTTAACTTTATTGAATTTATAAAATTTATTTTTTAAATTGTTTAATAAGCAAATTTTTTTACAAACTGAAAAAAAAGTATTAATTTCTTAATAAAGTATTAAATATAAATTTAGTAATATAATTATTATATGAAAAATATAATTTAGTATATATTTTATCAAATAATTCAATTTTAACATTAAATTTAAAAATTTATTATAATAATTTTTTGGAAATTTATGTTTTCAAATTAATTAAATCACTTTACTATTATAAAAGTTATAAAATATTTTAATAAGTCATAAAATTATTATAATTAAAGTTATTTAACATATTAAATTTTATTTTATAAAATTCTATTATAATTTAAAGATGGTACTGCAACTAGTTGCAACTATGTGATACTTATTTGTCACTGGTTGCAACTAATTACAACTCAATTTTTATTAATATCGCAACTATTTGCAATTCTATGATGCTTATTTATCACTAGTTGCAACTAGTTGCAATTCTGTGATGCTTATTTATCACTAGTTGAACTAGTTGCAGCATCATCTTTAATTATGATTAATATTATTAAAATTAAATTTTAATAAGTTTGTCAAAGATTTATAATAAAATTTTTAAATATTAAAATTTTTAACTTATAAATAATTTTAGATTTTAATATATAATTAAAAAATAAAAGTTATTATAATATAATATATATTTATAAATTAATTTAAAAAATTTTAATTTTCATAAAGTTAATCAAAAGTAAATAAGCAGGCAACTTTGTGTAAACCCTATAATTTAATAGATAATAAAAGATATTTGTTATAAATAAATAATTTAATCACAAGCTTATATAATAAAAAATAGCTATTTTAATTGAATTTTAATTAATATACTTTAATATATCACATAAATGATTTATTTTAATAGATAGAAAATTAGTAAATAAATAAATTTCTTTAAAATAATTGATATAATAAAATAATAAAAAATAAATATAACGATAACAATCCGTTTTTTTTTTAAATCTAAAAATAGATTTTGGAAATGATTTTCAAATGATTAATCTTCTGTCGATTTGATTGAAACGATTTCTAAATAAAAATCACCACAGATAAAACAAAGTCATGGTTTGAATTGACAGTGGAGAATCATTATGAGTTTGATGAAACATTCAATATATAAAATGATAACCAATAACTGAAAACGATTGATTATTTTCCAAATGATGCAGAATAAGAAGTTGAAAAAAAGTTGATTTGTAATATTCTTCTAATGCAGGATGTTGAAGGTAATGATCGTCCCGGTGGCATCATCACACGACATACCAACCTTTGTAAATGTTATTTAAACATATAGAACACGTGTCACCATTTCTTTTTTCATAAATATAAGTTATACCCATATTGAATTTTGAAAGAATTATGATGACAATGATAACAAGATGTAACGAGATGATTAAGAAGAGGAACGAAAAAAAAAAGAATTTTTTTTTATGACGCTATATAATCAATTACTAAAAAAAAAGAAATGTGTTACATTCAAGAGTTTATTTTGGTTGCATGAAGGTAAAACGTTCCCAACATAACAATATAGGGGACTTGTGTTACTGTAACCGTTAATATATTGAGTTAGAAATTTTCTTACCATGTACTCCTTTAAAGCATTTTACAAACCTGTTACATGATAAATCCCAATTTGCGAAACTTTGGCAAAACAAAATTTGTATTTTTTATTTTTATGCAATTAATAATCCTAAAAAGAAAGAACTGCATGAATATAACGAAAGTATACTTGACAAAGAACCAAAATTTCATTCTGATAAACATCAAACGTCGGAAACTGCGGCAACCAACCCGACAGCCCGAGAAAGGACAATAAAATAAAACTTTCCTGGATCCTTGTTCTTTTATGACTATTATAAAACTAAAAAAAACAATCAATAGTGGGAATCATTGTATTGGTTGAAGATCCCTCTCCCAATAAGTTTGATGTTAAGGTTCCTAAGTTAGGGTATCTTCAAAAAAATTTAAAAATTAATTCTCTTGTTGATCTCACCTAAATTTAATACATAAGCACGCATCGTCTTTGTTTTGGATCATGTTAATTTTTGCGATTTGCACATTCTTTGTTAATTCACGCTTGTTTTTTAAAAAATCACGTCATTTTTATTAAACCCATGCATGGAAATTATTATAATATTCAAAGTGAAACAGTCCTAGGTGCAAAATATTAATTATCGTATTGTATCCCCTAAAGTAATTTTTTTTATTTAATTTTTTTTTTATGTAGGTTACTAATTCTTAAATAAGCGTAATATAATTTATTGTTTCTTAATATTCTCACCTACATTAATAATGATATATAATATAATAATAATAATAATGAAAAAAACAAAAATAAATAATTCACGAGTCGGTAATAATAATGAGTTCATAGCGGAAATGTTGACGTCAAATTTTAAAACAAAAAAACAAAGAATCGGGAGAATAATCTCTAAAAAGAATTTAACTATCTAGAAGATCTAAAAAAAAAAAAATTGTCACGTATTTTCTTTTAAATTTATCGATGTAACATTTTATTCCTTGCTAATGGCGAATAATAATCAACCCTTCGTCTCACATATTAAAAAAAAAAAAAAATTCAAAAATATCCGAGATATTATTTCTATTTACAGCTATGTAAAACCTATATTTAACATTTATCTATAAAAAAAAAAATGTGTATAAAATTCATAATATTACTTATTTACGTTTGTAAGGTTGTTAATCAATTGCTCGTTTGGCCATGCGTTAAGAAATTCCATATTATATGCTTGTAACGAGTCATTTTCATAAAGAGCATTTAAATCATTAATATCGTTGACGGAACCTTGATCGTTAAAAGATGGTAAGGTAGTTAGTTGATCGTTATAAATGTGAGAATCGTCGATTGATGAATAATATAGCTCTGGTTGCATTTCAAAAGGAAATATAGATGTTGTTGGTAAAAATTCATTCAATTCTTCATTAGAAGAATCCTCCGGTGTGGATTCATGTTGATTCCCGTCAAAAGAAAGTGTACTGGTATTCATTGTGTTATCATCGAAATAATTCATCATGATTATGTTATTCTCGGATGATGGTTCATTTTCACATTTCAGGGAGATGTAATCTGTCGATGTTGAGTCTGTTGTGTCATAATACTCGGGTTCGGCGGAATTATCTTGTTGAATTTGTATTATATGGGAGGATGCTGATGTATCTTCATAAAATTTTATTTCGGTTGATGGAATCGTTGATAATGGACCCTTTTGTAAAATCCCAGGAGTGTGCTTAAAGATTTGAGGCATTGGTTCCCACGGTTTGGGATAACGTTCCTCTACTTCTTCATCGTATCTCGAATCTTCAATATTAATAAAATCATCATTGACGTTATCTTTGATATTATTTTTATTTTTACTTTTATTTTTATGCTCCACGTTTTCCTTTGGTTTCGGTTGATATTTGTAATTTGGAAATAAGTCTTGATGAACGAGAGCGCAAAGGGTGGATAATATGGTGTAATTATTTTTAATTTGATAGGATTCCGATTTCCACCAAATTCCTGCGATTTTGGAAATATCTTTAAAATCCGCGTTGGGATTTTCATTTCTGATTCTAGTTTGTAAATCTTTACGATAAAGAATGAATGCGTTTTGAGGGCGAGTCACCTTTCCCTTTTTCCCGCTTGTCCTCTTACAAGGGGAAATTAAATCTTTGAGAGGAATGTTTGTTGGAAAGACGAATCCCTCTTCTTGAGTTATCTTTTCCAGATTTTCTTCAATAGAACGTTTTAATTTGGCTTGGAATTCTGGTGTATCGAAAAGATGAATTTGCCTACGATTCTTTCTCTGTTTTGGCTGAGAAGATTTTTTAGAAGCGGATGTCTTTCTTCCTTTAGGCATTTTTATTTTTTTTATTTTTTTCGATTGTTCAATCTAATGAATTTAAATAAGTTTTTTTCTCTCTCTCTCTCTTTTGGTGAGTGAATAATTTAGAAATTAGAAATCTTCCGTTTTTATACTTTCCAGGAATATGTACTGTATATTAAACGTAGATCCCCAAAAAGGTGGATCGTCCTGGGTTTAGAATTGCGCGTTTCAAATTTTTAAATATATTATAAAAATATGTTTCTCAATTTTGAAAACAATGAACAAATTCCTTGTAATAGGGATTGTTTTTTTTTTTATACATAATAAAAGATGTTTGATTGGAAAAAAATCTTTGTTTTACTATCAATCTGTTTCAAAGAACCAAAATAAAATAAAATAAAAAAAAAAAAAACCAAAAAAAAATCCGATTTTTTTGGGATCAATTACATCTAACACAAATTTATTTATTTTTTTTCAAAAAAAAAAAAAAAACGGAATAAATAATTTACTCTAGATTAGGTAGATTGCTCGCGCATCACGACAGGATAGATATTCAGGGAAGGAAAATTTTTTTTCAAACATTGTCGACAAATTATATCAACTATTATTTTTTTTTTTTTGATAAATTTAACGTCCGGAAATTAATCTCAAATGGCGATAAACGAATCAATCGGAGCTTTTAATAATATCATTACTTTAAAAGAGGAATAAAAGGGCAACGGATTTTTAAGACGCAAACCAATATTTGACAATATTAGTAAGATCGTTTAAAGATTGTTCGTTAGGTAAATATCGAAATACATACTAAAGAATGAGAACGAATTGATTGGTTCCGTTAAGAACTTTATTTTATTATCGGGACTAATTTACAGGATTGAAGCGGGTTTCCCATGTTGACATTTCTTTATCGGGGACCGCACGAAATTTAATTTGTACCAAATTAGGGTTTTTTAATATGATAAAATTTTAGACTTGAACATTTCAAGAGCTTGTATTATTCCGAACCTATTTTTATCGATAATAAACATTGGAAACAAACCATTCATGGTATAGATAAACAAGTTTTTTTTATTTTTTTCCGAAATGATAGAAAAACATTTCTAAAATTAAAAATATCCTCTCCCGCTCAAATTCACGTTTAAGGAATCCAAACAAAATTTCGCCACATCTCGAAAAGCGTTTACATAATGTAAATAATGTACATATTTTGCTAACTTAACGGAACAAAACATTCCAATCTTGAAACAAATTCTAATTATAGTTTTTTTTTTTATCTTACTTTACTTTATTTTTGTTTTATTTTTTATTTTTTTTTTTTTTTATGCTAAACACCCCCGGAAAACGTATTTTGGATATAGGTGTTTTAGGTAAAATAAAATAGTATAAAATCAAAAACGGGGACATACGAAGAACAAAGGGGTCAATGACAAAGAGAAATTAATATTGTGCGGTCTAATGGGTATGATTTTCATTTAGATTACCGATGTGCGATATGATGTGTGATGTAAAAACATGACGTTACGTTCACGTGACACAGAATCCGATCGATCATTTTATATTTATATTTATTTATATACATTCACACATACAGTTATTTATTATTTATCCGAATAATATATTAAGTAATGATTGATTTATTTATTTTTAAGGGTAGATAATAATATGTAACATTTTTTCTTTTTACGTATCGTATTATTTGATGTTTTTATTTATTTATTTTATTTTTTTCATTCAAATTATTTCGAAACATATCTTATTAAACTTTGTTCCTCCCAACGTGGTGGTTGAACTTTTTTTAGAGGCCAATCAGGGTAATATGGCTAGAAGATCGATAAACATTCCTGTATAGTTTAAAAATAAAAATAACTTGTATAAAATCTACCAGGCAACAAACAAATAGAAAGTCTATTTTTAAAATGAAACGGTGGCCCTAAATTTGTCTAGTTGAACGATCTTTTTTTATTTATTTTTAGAATTGCAGTGACGAATTGCGAACAACCTTTTCAGATTGCACCAATCTTACAAAGAAAATAATACTAAATTATATCTATAAAAAAAAAAAATTTGTTTATTTTAATTCTTTAAATTCTTTAATTAATCTTTTACTCAAATTTAATATCAAACTGTTAACGACAAAGCATAAAAAGTTTCATCATGTTCTTTCACGTTCTGAAGGTTGCTCCTCAGCAAGATGATGGTCAACTCACAATAATTTTCCATAAAGAATAAACAATAGCAATTTCCATATTTTAATGATTTCATGCTAGTGAAAACTTTTTACCATTCATTATGCAAGATAAATTAAAAAAAAAAATTGCGACATACGAGTGATATTGAATTACAAAGAAAACTTTCTTACCAGGTCAGTGGCAGCCAGGATTTGTAATACATTATTTTCGGGTTCCATACAGCATTGTTCCTAAATGTAAGTTAATTTGTTTCTGATTGTGCCTAAATATGTCCGTGTTAGATGCCAAATTTAATCTACAAGGGAATAAATCTGTGTAATGTAACACTCACGCTTGACGGTTCAATGATTTACCCTCCGGAGAACTGCGTCGATCCACCATCGATTTTCGTTGTCGGACCTTTAAAAAGTCATAATAAAGTCATAATGATTCATATAACTGGTCAAGGTTCCGATTTCATTTCTTTTTGTCATTACAATTATTTAGCGTAAACCGTTTTCCCGTGAAACATTTTTTTTTTGTTTTTTTTTTTTTTTTTTGTAATTTTTTGTATTTTTTAAGAATGAATTGTGAACTTTTTGGTTGATTTTAATGCATCCAATATATTCTTTTGTTCCATTAAAACATTTCGTTTGTTTTTAAAGCGCCCTAACTACCTTATTATGATTTACACGTATCTATGAAACCAGCTTACGTAATTGTTGTGCGATTTAACGAACAGCGGACCTGGTTCCCATTTACATATTTACGCGCGAAAAACATAATAATATCCCGGTGAATCTTATTCATTTTGAATTGATGACAATATTTACATAAAAGATAACCATTATTTCTTGAAGAGTTTTTCTTTATAATATTGCCTTTAATGGCTTTAATGATTAATGAATTTTATTATGCTATGCAAAATGCTACTCTCTGATGATCCATTCAAAACAATGAACATTATGAATTAAAAAAAAAAATAATCGATTAATAATCCCAATCCTATTAAGACCCATTCCATTTATCTATCCTTCACTTCGGGGAATCTTGTCAGAAAGTACTCTTTGGGAATAAATGGTTGAGAGATCGCTCATATAAATTGCACAATTACATATATAGAAACTCGGAAACTTTTAGGAGACAGCAATAAAGTACAATCCTAACGAACCCTTTGTACCTACCAGTTTCTATGCGTTATGAACCATCAATCCTATCGATTAAATTTCATAAATTATTAATGACATGATTAGGTCAACGAAATCCCAAAGTCGAATCCCATGGAAAACTTTTCAATCGGGTTGATTCAGCGAAAATCATCGACCAGAGAAGAGGCGGATTTGAACTTTCATTGTAAGTAGTGACATTACCAATAACCTTTCAGAATAAAAACTGATGCCGTTTTGGGAGAATCCTCGGGCGTTACAAGGTGAGTGAACTAAAACACCTTTACGATATAACATTTTCCCTCAGGTTTTAAAAATTCAAATTTAATTGCTGGGTTATTTTTACTTTGATTAGTAATGCATTTTTTATACTCGATCATTTGACTTTATTGATGGAAAGAAAAACAAGAAGTATATATAGCATTATTATAATGAGATTATGCTGATCGGCCATTTCTAAAAAAAAAAAAAAAAAAAGTGTTCCAAGTCAAATAAAGCTTCTAAGCGATTCCGTCTTCAATGAAGGAACCCATACTTGCAGAATTTGAAAAAGACATTTGCAAGGACATGGACGAGGACAATAGCGAAGTTTTAATACAAAAAGCACTTCCCGTTTCCGAAAAACCTTTACCACGTGATAGACCTCCTGCGACTGGAGAAGAATATTTGCGTATGGTGAGGTTAGAAGCTATAAAAAGGCCTACTGTTGTTAAGACTAAAAATCCAATAATTCAGTCTAAAGGAGTTAGAATGGCGAAATGGGTTAAAAGAGGTTGGGAAAATCAAACAGAATATGATGATTTTGATCAAAATTCTAATAATTTTGTAAAAGAAGAATGGGAAAATAGATTTTTAACGAGATTTGATTTAATCAGACAGGTACGTTCTTTATTAATTAATTTTAATTTTTTTTTTTTAATATTATATATAATTTAAAATTATTTCTTTTTTTTTTTAAATTTTAATCGGTCGCGTTAACGCAAGGGATTAGAAAAACGACGGAAAATATTTGGATCGTCACGAAATAAATCACCAATCAAGCTACCAGCGCGAAATGATGAAGATGGATGGCTTAAATTTTGCTATGGAGTAAATTCGACACATGAATCGTTGAATTTGGCAGGATTAGAATATGAAGGTGATATAGATGAGATGACTTTGCCGCTTGTTAGTGTCGTGTCAAAAATAGACCAGGTATGAAAAAAAGAGATGACACTTTTCTTTTTTTATTACTGAAGTTAAAATCATTTACATTTACATATTTAAATTCAACGTTGCATAGGTTACAACAATCACGCTGCTTTCATATCATCAAAAATGGATTTCTAATGGGATCACAATTGCACAATCCCAATGGCTCTTCGCGTTGCTTGCACGTATTGACAACCTCTTGATGCCTAATCAGATGGCAATTTTGAGGCAATTGAGTGAGAAGTGCATTCAACTTCGGCAATTGGTAACGAATTCTTATTTACCAAATGTTTTAATTAAAAAAAAGACGAGGATTTTATGCTTATATATATATTTCTGACTTTTATTTAATAGGCAGATGAGGAAGACCTTCTTATGTTGGCTTCCTTGAATATAATTATTACTATTGTAAGAAAATATTTTGGTCAGAAAGATTTAAGGTAACACTATATGTTAACTTTCTCGAGGAATATTAATATACATATACATATACATATATAATATTCAGAATAAAAAAAAATCTATTCATTAAAAGTACAATTAATTCTTTGAAATATATTATACACTTTAAATATAATTTGGAGGAATGGATCAATTTCATCATTCATCATTCAGCATTCTTCTCTCTCTCCTGTATTAAGTTTGTCGGAATATTATTTACTTCTGTATGCTAATAATAAAAATGATTCTCGAGTTATTATAATTTGATGTCGCGTAATTAAAAAAAAAAGAAGTTTAATGGTATCATACCTGTTCATACATGTTATCTTTTAATATGATCCAATCATCCCTCGCACATATTTTAATCTATATAATTTAAAGGACAAAAAAAAAAATTTAAATTTCCACTTAAAATTTCGAAAATCAAATCAAAGTAATTATCTTACCTTCAATTCAAAAATTGCACTCACAGGCTTATGATCACTTAATGCAATTTTCATATGACTTTTATATCGGAGTAATTTACACCATTCATTATCCTGACTTCTCCATAATATTCTATCCGTCCATGCAGGAGTTCTTTTCTTTTCGCTAAGTAGAATTGTTTTATCATCAACTTTTAGTGGTATAAATCAAAAACATTAAAAAATTGATTTAAAGAGTTACATTAATAATTACCTAGTGTCCCATTCATTTGTTCCAAAATCATACTTATAAGTAGGAAGAAAGGTGATTTCTCCTTCTTCAAATCCATTAAATGCTTGTTTTTTATCTCTTTGGATGTTCAACTAGAAAAAAAAAAAGGATTAAAACCTAATGTTATTATAATGAAAAGACCATTTATGGAACATACCTGATCAAACTTCAATAATAATTTTGTCTTATTTCCTTCCAACATAGATTTTACCTCAGGTTCTGATAACATGTCTATTCGATAATTTAAATCTCCCATCCAAATCAAATGACTGATAATATGTCAATATCTTATAAGGTCATGTGGGATCATGTTAATAAAATAAAAATGACTTACTCGTTATCAAATATGGGCATAACCTGACCCGCACCTACTTTATTATCGTTAGGCGCTGTGCTTGTATTTCCACTAATACCTACCATCCCTCCCATACCAGCAACTGCATTTTTGGCATATGGGGGTATATAATCACCAACCCAACCATATAATGATGAATAACCTTCACTCATATTAATAGGAAAAGTGATTCGCTGACAGATATCCAAATAATCCTGATTCCTTCTTTCGAGTCCATTAGGGTCAGCTGCTAAATGACAATTTACAAAGCATAGGTATGAATCATAAAATCGGAATCGAATAGCTACCCCACCTTTGTTACCCTAAATAAAAAAGTTATTCGATTAATAAAGGACTTTCCATTCAAAAACTAAAAAAAAAAGAACTTGAGAAAGAAGGAAAGAGAGGGTCACACAAACAAAATTTGCGCATTTGAATGCCTCCCATATTGTGCTTGCCTATATTAATTCATACCATCATGCCCATTAAGCCGACACCGACACAATCGGATTTGATCTCTTTAACGTATGGCGCATGTACTTTTTTCACTAAGACTATAAGAAGCATTCCGATCAGTTGTTTTGACATGATCTAAATCGAATATAAAAGTTTCACGATTAGTTTCCTCATGGGGTATTCTCCAATTTTGAAATTTTTAAAAACAAACTATTTCAATCACTTTATAATAATCGAATAAAAATATTTTTGGTAGTAAGGTACTAAATGATAAGGAAAGACTCATGCATTACATGAAACATTAACTTTTAGCATCAATGCTACCAAATGCTTAGTTAAAGTGATATCAATCACCTCCAAGTGAATAAAATGTTTATAAAAAATTTATATACCTTCCAATAATTATCAGCTTTATCACCTAAAGCTTGCAAAACAGCGGTAGTCCAATTAGATTCTCTCGTACCATCATATACCAAATACGCTTCTACACTCAGATCTAATTCTTGAAATCTACAATTGTGATGAATTGATGATTAGTTTATTGACTAATTTAATCAAACCTATATGTAGTCCCTATAATTTACTTTATATTATACCTCGCTTATTTTTTTTTTTTATTTCGAAAAGTTTTCGTATAATTTGGTGTGAAAATAACAGGGGCATAAAAGCAAAATTTTGCTATATGATCACAAGGAAAATCGATCAATTGTGATTTTGATAATTGAATACATATAGGTTTGATTTAATTAGTCTCATCAAATTATTACAATTTATTCTAATTAAATCAAAAAAGCTCACCCAATGGCATAAATATCGATATCATAATCACATTGGAGCCAAGGTGAAAGAGATTCTGTAACGTCTTGTCCGCTAACATTGAAGGTTCCAGAGAACACTCTAGTAAATGAGTAACGAGTAAATTTTAAAAAATCGAAATTCGCGAGAAACAGTATTAATAACTTTAACATTACAAATTAAACTTAAATATTTACCGTATAGTTTTCAGTTCTAAAATGTCCTGCTGTAATTTTATTTCTTGAGTTGTAGGATTTTCTATTGAATCACTCATTTATTCGGTTTTTTTTTTTTTTTTTGAATAAAAAAAAAATGAACTTATTTGTTGTGTTTTATCTCTGTATCACTTACCTTTCCAATTACGTCTTTCGTAATAGATAATAATTGTGTCATTGTTTTTTTTCCAGCCAATACCAGTTAGGGTGGCCCATTTTCTGTGGCGTTAAACTCAAATTATGCTTGCTTTATATAGTTAAATATGCAAGTATATTCGAAAATTTTTTATAAAATATGCTTCGTTTTTTTTGTTTTTTTCAAAAAAATGCTAAAAAATGCGATCAAATTACTTTATTTAAAACTCTATTATGCAATTACAAATTTTTGATTATTAAAATACAAAAAATTCAAAGCAAGCAATTGAATTTTCTGAATTTTCTGAAAGAGCATGTCGTCTGAAAAACTTCGTTCTACATCTACTCGAGATATACCGGAAGCCAAATATATCCCTAAGGCTAGTCTTGCTAAATTCGGTAAGCTTTTTATTTTGTTTTTCCAATAGATATTTAAATCAAACTCACCATCATCAAACTCCTCTTCCAAACTACAATAAATTCTCCATTCTTGCATAATTTGATCTGTTGGATTTTTAAATTCTTGAATTTCCGAATATAAACTAATTATTATAATGATGTTGTTGAGCACACGATCTTAATCTTCTTAATCTATAGATCTTAACTGCGGATATGCTATATGATATGCGAAAAATGCGGACCAATTAAATCTGCGACAGCATATGCTATTGCGAAAAATCGTGATTTCTCCGCATATTATGCCGCCGCAGAAAATGGGCCACCCTAATACCAGTATTAAATAGGGATCTGTATGTTAATCTTTCGAAAAATGATTTTATTAACTTTAAATTACAAGGCTTTCGATAGTTTTTTTTTTTTTTTTTTTTTTTTTAGCAATTGTTTCTTATTGAATTGTGCCTAATCAACAATATATATTATAAGAAATTTTAAGTACCGCTAAATATTAATGGAAAAAAAAAAAATTTTTTTAAAAATTATTTGTACAAATAATTTACAAAGAGAAATAATACAAAAAGAAATAAATATACGTAAAACAAAAGGAAAAAAACAAAAGATCAATCCTTAGCTATAAAGAGATGACAACTAAATTATTACAAAATTTTAAGCTAATCATCCCTCAAGTTATCTGGATTAGTAACGCGTAAGGGCGATTTCGGAACAATCATAAAGTTTGTTTGTTGAATGTCAATACCCATCATATTTTCTTCTAATGCTGCAGAATAATCTTTATCATGAGAACTACTCTCTATAGGCATAGCAAGGCCGCTGCCCATGCTTGGCCGAGGTAATTCTTCAGCAGTGGAACCTGAAGGAACGCCAAATGTTTTTGTTTTTTGATTTAATGTTGGTTTCTTTGCGCACCAAAAGATATTAAATTTATTTGGTTTTTCTTGATTTGAGGTTTGTTCTTTTGTGCTCGGATAAGGTGCTGCATAAAAGGAACCTTGCCTTTTTTTACGATGAAACCAAAATAAACCGCCTACCAACAAAAGAAATAATATCGTTCCTATCGTTGAGCCAACTATTATCCCGGTTTTTGAAGCTTTTACTTTTTGTATCGGATCATCGTTAAGAGGGTACTTTGTTTGGGTAAAATCCAAATTTTCTGGGGAATAACTTTCTTTCCACGTATACGTGATCGTATCTAATGAAACGACGTCAAATCCGTTCTCTATTTAGTCACAATGCTAAATTTTAACCAAAATAATAATGATAATACAAAAAAAAAATAATCCATTACCAAGGACATAAATATTATTATCTGGAGTATCATTCGCTAAAAAACCTATTAAATATTAACCAAAGAAACAAACAATAAAGTATAAATGAAATATTCAAGTGAACTTACAATACGCGAGAATATTTAAAAGCGAACATACCAAACGCAACCAGCATATTAGTTCCAATCATCGTAGCAGTGTGAGAATATCTTCCTGGTGGTATAGTGCCCTTTGCTTTAATCACGTTCCAAGTGTAATTTGGTTGTGTGGTTGTATCCAAAACCGCGATATCATCAAATAATCCAAGATAATCTTGATTCACACCACCATGTATGATTACCTTACCATCATGTGCTACAAATTAAAAAAAGATACTTTCTTAAGTTGAACCTAATATGAATATTATTCACTAGATTTTAACTACCTACTTCCTACTGCGGCATGATCTCGACGTGCCGAAGGCAAAGTGCCAACTGCAGTCTTAAAGTAAAAAATTTTAAGGTTCAATTATAAAGAATTTTTTTTTTAAAAAAAAAAAATCATTTTCTTAAAATTTACGATACCTGAACATTCCATATTTCTTTTATTGTATCATAAACGTAAATTTGACTTATGTCTACTAATTTGTCCTTGGAATACCCTCCAATCACATACATATTACCATCCGGAAGAATTGTTGCAGTGTGATGAAATCTTCCTGATGGCGTATTTGGATCTACACTTTGGATATTCCAGGAATTTATCTTGGTATCCAACTTGAATAAATCTTGAAATTGAACTAATGCTGAAACCGTGATGTCGGACACATCAGGTATGCCACCAAAAAAATAATTCATGGAATCATTTAATCTTGTAACAGCAGTGTGTTCTTTCCGTGGTGTCCCTAAACTTAAGTTGGCTTTATACCATTCAGGTGATTCCTCCAAAGTATTGTAATAAAATAATGGATTTTCGGGTACAGGTTCATTAGGTGTATTTAGATATTCGCCACCATATAACACTAAGAGTTCATTTTGTGATCCACCTATACTAATTGTATGGTACGCAACTTTTGGGCCAACAGAATGTGTTGCCCACGATGGATCTGATATTGCGAAAGATTTTGAAACATCGAGAATAAGGAGTTGATTTGTATACTCAAGATCATTTTTCGATCCCGCTTTTCCCCCATGAATATATAATCTATAGTAAATTGAATTAAAAGGAGTAACATCAGATCAATCTTTTATTCAATGGAAAACCTGGTTAAAATTCAAAAAATTCAAAAATAAAAAAACCTTTACAGAATGAATATCAATTGATAAGTGAATTTTTTCTGTTATCATTATTTTGTTTCTATGTAATACCTACTTGTTATTTAAAAGTACAGCGCTATGTCCCCATCGGGGTTCCGGTAACATAGCCTTCACACTTTGTATCGAAACGATGCCTAAGGATTCTATTGTAAATATAGTTAGAGAACCGGCAAGCTTATTCTCGAACAGCTTGAATAATGCCATTACTTTTACGGTACGTCTTCGAAAAGTAGAAATAACCAAATTTCATGAACACCGTGAATATTTTTATTATTTTATAGCAAAATATATAAGGTCAAAAGACAAAAAGAATAAGGGGTAAAATGTAGTGGTTGGCATATCGATTAAGGTATACGAAAACAAATTACCAACGAAATATAAATAGCAATAAGATCTTCTAATCGTGGAACAAACTTGATTAGATGTGATTTAAAGAAATTTCATGATGACGATTTCATGCATTAGAATTTCTCTATTACGTTATCGATGATCGACAAATAAGAAAAAAAGGGTTCATGTGAACAAACATTAGATATGTCCCCCTATGTAAAATACCCCTTAAGGTTTTGTTATAAAAGACTTGGGTGGTTTACATAAGGGTGTTTTGTTTTTTAATCATAAAACTATATTAATATATCGTTATGATTTATTTATCAAATACAAAATTTTATTCAATTTAAAATTTCAAAAAAACAGACTTTGTTATTTATTCAAACATTAGCAAAATTAATTTTATTCCAATTATTATAATCCTCCTCTTAAAATTCCTTATCTTCAATTAGCTCATCATTTTCTTTATTTGCCATAAGACTATCATAATCGAAAATTATGTCATCTTCAGAACCATCAGTTTTAATTGAAATGCCACCTATGATACTCTGGATTGGTTATCTCAGTAATATTCAAATTACCCAAAGGTTGTCTGATAGTTGATCCATGAATCTTTTCTACTCCTAATCCAGTACTGTGCCGATATCTAATGATGCTAGGCGAAATCGAAATGTTTCATTATATGAAATACCTTCGTTATTACATACACACACTTTATATTAAAATGTGACTATAAAAAATCCCTCCATATAGTCAACTTACTATTAAAATTACATGAATTGTGACTGTACAGAAATTTCTAATTTATGAATACTGTGTTACTAAATTACCAATTGGAAAATTACTTTAATGCTGTTTGTTACTGTTCTTTTTATTTAATAGATTACAATATTCAATGATTTCTATTTATTTATTTAAGTCTTTATAATGTTAATGTATGCTTACTCTTGGTCAGGTATAGATTGGCCTATAACTGTTGATCTTAAATATTATGTAGAGGTGAAAAGCTTCATTTAGAAAAAATTTTTTTTTTTAACAAAAAATCAGAAAAAAAATATAAAAAAAACTGAATGTGAAATTTAAGAAGGAAAATGGAAAAAGAAAAAGGAATGATAATAGTTGAATGAGAGATTGTTGATATATAATGGTGTTTTAATATTAGATAGTAATGATGATAAGGTAGATCTTTTTAGTGATACAGATCTTTGTAGAGAAAGAGGATTAAAAAATGAGAAGTATTTAAATTTTCTAGTAAAGTAAATATTAAAATTTAGTTTAAATTCAGTTTGTTTTTAATAAATTAAAAAATAAAAAGTTTGAATATAACTAAATTTTAATATAAATATCAAACAGATGTATTGTTAAATACTTACTAGATTTTTTTAAAATAGAATTATAAATTATTTTTCATAAGTCTTGCCAATTTTACTTTACTTTTCTTTAGGTTTTTCTTTACATAGAGTTCAATTAACTAATAAATTTATTATTTATAAATTTTATTTTATACAATTACTAAATATTATAAGCTTTCTTAATTAAGATTTTACTTATTTTATAATCTTTAATTTTTTCTTTAAACTTTACTTGATACTGCAAAAGCATAACTTCTATATTAAATTCATATTTAGTTATTTGTAACTCTTTTTCAAAAAAGTAATTTAGATCTCTTAAACATATTTCAATATTTAGAATTTCTACTTTTTTTCTATTTATCAAAAGTTAAATTTCATATTACTCTAATTGATTATGTTTAGCATTTTTGAAAATGAAAATTATAAAATAAATTTTTAATAATTAAAGAAAAAAGAAAAAAATACTTTATATAAAATTATATTGATATATATCAGAGATTTGAAATATTTTATATGTAATAAGTAATTCTATTTAGTCAAAATTAGCTAGTAATTATAAATTGTAATTGTAATTTTATTTTTACATGTTATATATAATTTAATTTACAAAATTATTTAATAATTACAATTTTGATAAATTATTAAATTTTTACATGATTTCAAATTTTTTATTTCAAAATGAAATACAATTTTCAATGATAATATTTTGATAATAATACTGATTCACCTTTAATTATCTATAAGTTTATCATTAATTAAATTTTTCAGACAATAACAATTTTTTTTAAAAATTTATATTTAATTAAATTTAATTTTTTTTATTTTTATTAAAAATTAAAATAAATTAATATTAGAATCAATACTATTAAATATTATTTAAAATAAATGATATTAAATTATTATATTTAAACGTAAAAAGTTAGATTCTTTATCAACATTTACTAAAGTTTGCAATTGTATTACATAAAAGTTATTATTATTCAATAATAATTAGCTATATTTTTGTAATATGTTTAATGAAGATCTAATTTAAAGTTTGAAATTACAATATATAAAAATTATTATCATTCAATAATAATTAGTCACATTTTTGTAATATGTTTAATGAAAGATTTGATTTGAAGTTCAAAATCATAATATACAGAATTATTATTATTCAATAATAATTAGCAATTTTTTTATAATATAGGCACTTTACAATAGAAAGAGTAAAAACTATTAAAAAATTTTTAATTCAAAAAATTTTTTAGTAGTTTTTGCCTTTTATATTGTGAAGATTTTATATATTTAATTAGAGTTCTGGACGAGTCGAGTTAACTCACGAGTCAGATAAGCTGAGTCGAGTTCAAATCAAGTCGAGTTGGTGTTTTTTTTGACT